GCGAATGCACAGCGAGCCCCAAGTCAGACTCCCTGCTGAAGAGCAGGGTTCCCCGTTGGATGTGGGGAGGGGGTCTCAGGGAACTCCCAGCCTGGCCTGGGAGGAGATTTCTGTCGGATGGGGGACACACAGAGTCTGCCCCGAGGGAGCTGCCAGTCTGATGGGAGAGGCAGGTCGACCAGACCGGTGATGGGGGACACTGATGGAGCCCAAAGGAGCAGCAAAAGGGAAACAAGCGGACACTCACTCACAGGAAACGGAGTGAGCGCGTCCTGCGGTCTTCCTGATAGCAAGGCCAGTTGGTACCAAGGGCAGCGGGAGGATCTGGGGAGTTGCAGCCGATGGAAAGGAGCCCTAGTGGCGCTGTGGTTAAAGCGCTCAGCTACTAACCCAAAGGTGAGCGCTTTGAACCCACCGGACTCTCCACTGGAGAAAGACGAGGCAGTCTGCTTCTGCAATCACGACAGCTTTGGGGACCCCCCACTCCCCCCTGCCAGTTCCACTCTGTCCTACGGGCCGCTCTGATGTGATGGCGCTGCTTGGGTCTTCAGATGATGTGATGGCGCTGCTTGGGTCTTCAGATGATGTGATGGCGCTGCTTGGGTCTTCCGACAGAAGAGGCGAAGGGAGGGGAAGGTGCTTTCTCGTGCCCTCCCTCCCCCTCCCTCCAGAAAGGCATTTCTGGAAGTCTCCAGTTGCTCCAGGGCCTGGGCAGCTGCTCTGTGTGTCCAGGGCTGCCAGCTCTCAGCTGTCACTCTGCTCCCAGAATAGCAGTGACTGACAGAGGAGGAGCTGTCTATCTGGGATGGCGGTGGAGAAGGGGTGCTATAACTCTGCCTAGGGACAGGGGCCAGCTAGCAGGGTTCCCGTCCCTTCTGGATCCTTCTCGCGCTCTCTGGGGTGTGAGCACCTGAGTCCTAGGACTGCCCCTGAGCCTCCGCGTGGTCATGATGGTCCCGTCTGAGAAGGGGAAGGGCCCTGAGTATCAATGACACACTTCAGGGACACCTGCCCCCGTGGCCAAATATGGTCTGGAACCTCTGGCCGCCAGGGAGATAAAGTCTCCCTAGTGGGGGCTGGGAGGAGCAGACCCAGGCTGTGGGGCCAGAGAGCCACACCACAGAAGCCCAGACCTCAAGCTCTGTCCAGCGGAGACCGGAGACCGTGAGCACCCTTGGGCTGGGGAGGACTGCAGTGAGAGGTCAGGCCTTTTCAGAGGCAGGGGTGGGCTTCACCTGTCCAGGCTGGGAGGGGCAGAGAAGGAGGCCCCAGGGGACAGAGACCCCTCTCCGCATAGGCCCTGCACTGAGCAAGTATTGTGTCCTATTGGGGCACTGGAACTGGGAGTCGTGTGGGTGGGCCTCCCCCCACAGACTCCTCCTCAGCCCGAGGTCACCTGGAGGAAAGGAGTGGCGCCTGGTGTCCTCGTCCTCGGGGCCAGGGGCCCAGCCTCGGTCTAGGGTGAGGGGCGGTGGGGCTGAGCCTTCCTCTCCGCTGGCAGATGGCGGAGGCAGAGGCCGTGCAGCTGAAGGAGGAAGGGAACGGGCACTTCCAGCGCCAGGACTACAAGGCCGCGGCCAGGAGCTACAGCCAGGCCCTGAAGCTGACCAAGGACAAGGCCCTGCTGGCCACGCTCTATCGGAACCGGGCAGCCTGTGGCCTGAAAACGGTTTGGGCCTGGGCTGGGGTGGCCAGCATCTATTGACCTAGCCCTCTCACCGGGTCCCCTGGAGCCAGGAGAGGACACTGCCCACTCCTTTCCTTGAAGGGACCACCTTGCCCTGCCCCTTTGCAGAGTCTAATCGAGACAGAAATCCCTCCAGATCACAGATCAGAACTGGTCTCCTGGGCCAGTCTCCCTGCGGCTTAATGACGGCCTGTGGGAGAGAGGCTGTCTGCATCCCCATCGTGCAGATGAGAAGGTCGAAGCTCGAAGCTCGGGGAGCTTAATTAACTGGCCCCAGATCTCCCAGGTCGTGAGAAGCAGAGCTAGGATTCAAATCCTGGTCAACCCGATGCCAGAGCTTACCCACTCTTCCATGCCCAGGGAGGACACTCCCCTGGGTCGCCCTCTCTCGCCCCTCCAACAAGCCCCACTCCCCTGCAGCGAGGGGGCCCACACTGACCAAATGGCCTTCCCCATTTCTCAGGAGAGCTACATGCAGGCGGTGTCAGATGCTTCCAGAGGTGAGCTGCCCCTGCACTTGCCCTTGCTCTCACCTCCACCCTACCTGTCTCGCTCCGCCACCCCCACCCCCACCCCCACCCCCACCCCCAGACTCCCTGTCCTGAGGCCCTGGCATGCACAGGAATTACTGATTATAAACACCCTCCTGGCAATGTAGGGAGAGCGTCCGGCCACCATTTTGCAGATGGATGTACCTAAATCCCAGCTGGGGCCGAGCTGGCTCCGTGATGCTAGTCCCAGCCTTGCGGGGAGGCAGCGGGCAGGAATGAATGTACTCAGGCTGGCACCAGAGAGCCTCCCGCTCCCCAAGAATGCCACCTTACGCCCAGGAAGCCTGTGGGGGCTGCACTGGCAGGGAAATAGTGTGCAGAGTGGAGGGGCAAATTTGCACACAAACCGGTGTGGGGCTTGATCCTGGTTACTGTTTTATTTTCATTTTGGGGGAACAGATGGTTGCAGTGCATTTGGGAGGGAGGGAACCAGGTTGGGAAGCAGCCTGTCACGTGAGCTGGGGGTGGGGATGGGGGGGAGGGTGGTGGTAATATTTAGCCCTGAGAGGAGAACTCCCAGGTGGGACAGACAGCTGTCTGCAAATACCTGGATGACTTTCACAAGGAGGAGGGA